GTGCTTCTCCAGGCACCAAGAGTGCATTTGAGAAAGCACCAGGAGTTCAGTTTGGAACACTGGACTGTCATTTTCATAAAATGACTTCACAAAAGGAAGTGGTGGCAGCTGCACTTCAGTTCTGTCAGTGTGCTAAGGTATGATGGGCTTGTTGGTTGATTGGCTGGATTGTTTTTGCTGGACTTTATGCTTTTTTTAACTGTTGTCTGGAAGCAAATTAGATGCATAGAATGTCCCCTCACCCCATTGTGTAACAGTAGCTTATGGTTTACCAGTGATGATGTAACAGCAAAGCATGGTGATACTTGGCTGAGATGGAGTTCAACAAGGCAAACTTTTGGTTGTCCTGAAATTTTAGTTCCTGTATTAAGAGATTTTAATTTGTTAATTTACATTGAGTATTAGCTCAGTTGATCAGAGCATGGTGCTAATAATATCAAGGTTGTGGGTTTGATCCCTGTACAGGCCATTCATTTAAGAGTTGGACTTGATCCTTGTGGGTCCCCTCCAGCTTCCAGCAGGAATATTCTGTGAATTATTTCGTAAATTCGTGAAGTCTGACAGTTATGGTTTCCTTTAGCGGGAGGAGATGGTACTGAAACAGAGAATATACTCAAACCATTTTTCTAAATCCTTCCGGAAGACAAGGTGTAAGCTTTTCTTTCTTTGGATTCTCACCTTCTGACATGACACAATGTACTGTTGCGGTATCACTAAGATTACACTTCCATCTTTTTTACTGCTAGGCAGATTAGCAGTGTTTTCTTGTTATTATAAGATCTGTAACAATGAATTCAGCCTTCCAGTGTTGTATAATTATCACCTCACTAGGTCATCATCTGCTGCTACCAGATTTACTGCTGGAAATCTAAAGGTAGTCAAACCTAACACTAAAGAAAATGATACATTTGTAAAAGCACTCAGTGCTCATTAAGGCCCAAAGTTTGAGGAGCTACATACAGAACAGATTTTGTTATTTAACATTTAGCTATGAGTGTGCAGATTGGAGGTAGATACTGTTGACTCCTCCACCTTTGAAGTGGGATTCCTGTTCAAACCAGGAAGTATTCAAAACACTCCAGCTATTCCTTCTATATCTAGGAAGAGTGAAATTGTTATTGCCTTGTTCCCGTATAAAAATACTATAAACAGCAGCTACATCATAGGCATGCAGTGACATCAGCTAAACCATGTTTAAACTATTGTCTTTACCTCTTTTGCCTAGCCTATCAATAGTAGCTGTTCAGATATTTGGTGAGGATAATGCCATGTTTGAAAACTACGGATAGCGTGGTATTGTAGGTTGCAGAAGCACTTGAAGATCTTCCCATAAAAGGTTACAGTTCTTTATTGAATCTTTTTGAATGCAGCAGCTTAACTGGAATGCTGTGTTGAGCCTTTCAAACAACTGAACTCATCATCCTGTATTTGAGTAATGATTTTATTTTCTTACCCTCCTGACTAGAGATGCATCATTGATGGCTATGAGGAGGCGTATTGAAGGCTTGACACCAGAAGAAATCAGAAATCTTCCCCGAGATGAAATGCACATGCCAACAACTATGGAAGACTTTGAAATAGCTTTGAAGAAAGTTTCTAAATCTGTTTCTGCTGCAGACATTGAGAAATACGAGAAATGGATAGTTGAGTTTGGATCATGTTGAGTTGTCTTCTGTCGAAGAAACCACCTTATGTCTTAAAACAGCTTTAGAAGTAATCGGTGATGTGTCAGTGCACTGCGTGCTCTTTTTAACTTTTGTAATTTAAGAGCAACAGATGTCTAAATAAATTTTTTTCTATAATGCAAGTTCTGCCTAGCTCTCTTTGAACTAGCTCAGAAGTCATCCATTTTTCTCAGATGCTGATGCTATCTGATTTTCAAGATTTTGAAATTACTTTAATACTATAATTCCTTTCTTTAGTATTTACTCTTGAAAAATTGCTTTTGTGTCAATAAAATCCCCCAAGCTAGCCCTGCTAAGAGAGTCAGGGCTGCTGAGAACTTGAAAACTGGACAAACAAGATGCAGTTACACAGATAGCTTCCCTAGCTGATCTTGAAGAATCCTTCTGTTAAACTGTTGTTAAAGAACCCGTGCAAAGGCTTTGATATGGAACAGCAACCCTCATGGTGGAACAGTCAATGAAGTTAGTGGAGTTTGAGGAAGGGTTTCAGATCATCATGGGTTTACAGCAGCTGCTAAATAATATTAAAATACATCCAGCCAGTGTAAACTAAATTTGAGCAGCCAGCAGTGATGCTGTCACACGTACAGTTTCCTTGTTATTTTGAGAAATCAAAAGCTTTCTGGCATTAATTTCTGGCGTTTCTTCCTTGACTGTCTGGTACTGCAAGCAGCAAAACATTAGACTGGTGAGTTGGGTCCTGCTTTACACGGTTATTCTGGTAAGGCAGCATGTGTTGTGTTTGTGCTCAGTTCATAAACCCTGACTTTACAATTGACATGAAATCTAAATTCTTGTTTTTCATTACTTAACTGCTTTACATGTGATTTATTATCTGAGAATGGTTCTGCAGTAACCATCCAGGTAATAATTTTAGATTTTGCTGAACAGTGGTAATTGTAACTAAACCACCCTGAATTCCTTTCCATCTTCTACTGTTTGAGAAACTTTTCTTCCTGCTAGCTCCTCCCAGTGCAGCCAGCTGTAGCTCTGTTTATGGGTAAACTTCATTTTTTTTCATTAATCAAATAGGTCTGGACTTGTTCTAGCTGGTAGATACATGTGTATAAAGCTGGCTGTGGAATTCCTACTTGTAATGTTAACACAATGTTGCAGTCTGAGTAGGAGGCAAGTGCATCTCAAAGACACAGCTGTGTAAATGGCATTATTGTGAGCATCTTGTTCCTGTGCCTAAAATTCATCGCTATGTTGTGAGTGACAGCTGGACATGCTGGAAAGGGACTTCCAGCAATGTCAGCCGTAAGAGGCTCAAGTAAGACACTGAGATCTTGTGAGAGCTCCTGAATCCCTGGGTGGACCAGCATGATGAACCCAGAAAGGAAATGAAAAAGTTGAGGTGAGTATACAGGTGTGCACATTCATAGACATCCATTTCCAGAATGGAAAATGTGTCAGAGTTAATAAAAATACACAGTATTTTGAAGATGTAGGTACTCTTAGTACTTATTTTCCTGTTTGTATGTAAGGATAAGAGTGTAGCTGTCAGGTTTTGTTGCAGATTTCTTCTCATAATTCACTGCAAACAAACTAGAATACTTAATCTGGCTCCCACTTAAGAAGGGAGAGTAAGCAAGCTTTGGACCTTGACAGCAGTCCATTAAGGGGCCACTTACACTAAGTGTGATATATTTTGAGAACTCCTAAAGTAAACCTCAACTTAAAAGCAGGAATTTAGTACTAAGCCAGCCCTCTTCACTCTGATTGAACAAAATTAACATCTCTGTAATGCATAGTAAAGGAAAGAAAAGGTGATAGAGGCTTATTTTGTAGCTCAGAGGTTCATTTTGGTTTGGAACACGCATTGTGGTGATACACAGTTCTGAGGGCAGGAAGGGCTGCGGTGAGGTGCTTGTGAGAAGATGATGTTGCTGTTTCTAGGAACCTACCACTGTCCCACCAGGGATTTTTTTGGGTAGACAGGTTTTGTTGGGTTGTTTTTTTCGTTGTTTTTTTTTTTTTTTTTATCAGTTCCCAGCCCCCTCACATACCTTCCCCTAGAGGGCACATCAGTTCATGTCCTGGAAAAATGAGACCTGCCATGACTGGCATGCAGGACAGTTGCCCCATCCTTATTGTCTTAGTTGGGTGAGCTGGTTTTTTAGTCAATTTGCAGAATAGCTCAGTGTTGTGCCATCCCAGAGTAGCGCTCGTCTGAGACGCATGAGATTTGTGATTTGGGAAAACCATGTGCATGCTAAAGCAAAAACACAAAAGTTTTAACTTTTTAAAGACTTCATAACTCCAGCTCCATAAAGCAGCAGAAACTGTCTGGCAGTTACTGTGTTCAAGACCTGCACTAATTTTAGAATTCCATTAACCTGATGGTGATACTTCTTTCCTGCTGCTTTGTAACTTTATGGAAATCAGACAAGTTTTGAAGCATTACCAACACTTTCAGGCTTAACTATGCATTTTCTGCAGCTGTTTAGAACAGCTAAATCTCCTTGTGGTTCTTGCAGGTGCTCAGTTTCCAATTTCATAAGGAGGGATGCAAAGAGCACATGCAAACAGCTGCCAAGTTTCCATCTGCAGCATAATTCCTACTGTGTGCTCTAAGGGAGAACTATTGTGTTTCTTGTCCATCCTATTTTTTTTTCCCCAGAAGAAGCTAACTTCAGCCTTGTACATCACTTCTTGACCTATGCTAATGGAGGGGGCAGGCAATATCCACATACAGACAGGTTTGTCTATTCCTGTTTCAATACTTGCTCTTGTCTGTACATCACTATTCCTGTGCTAATCATAGCAGTTTCCTGTTCAGCCATGGGTGGCAATCCCTATGCCACCCACAAGGTACTAAAACAAAAAAATAGGGAAGTTTGAGCAGTGTCCCTGTTAACCTTGGGCTGGTGTGGTGTGTACCACACAACACTGCTGGGTGGTGAAGTTTGGTTTGGTTTTTTACAAGGCCAAGCTGGTGTTAAAAATATTCCTTTTATCACTGCAGTGCTGTCAGTTCAGTGAGACAATGAGAGTTGTTCCTGTCATAGACCAACATCTGAGTAAACTTGGATCTCATTAAACACATGATGTTTCCTTAGGGCAGGAGCAGGAATCCCAATTTTTCTCCCTTGCTCTAACAGCTCCAGCTGAACATAGGTAACTCTGATCATTCCGATGATAACTGTGCTCAGTCTAGTGTAAGGCAGTTACCGTTCTGAGGTTTTTCCCTATTCATTCTTTTGACATTGTAAGAACAATGAAAAGCTAAGAAACAGAAAGTGCCCTAAATCTGAAATGTTTGGCAAACCGCTGTTTTATTACCTAACTATAAATGCACACACGAACACAATCTAATAAACAATTTAAATGTTTATTTGAAAAATGTTAACAGTACAAACTGGCATGAGCAGACTGGGCCTACTCAGCAATAGCAAGCCAGTATTTCTGTAGAATTTAATGGATTTTTCATTTTTCTTTTGGGACTTCATAGAGTACTGCTGTCACAGATACAAAAAAGCAAACTGGTTACAACTGCTAACAATTTTTATGAGTGGAAGGGACCATAAAAATGTAAAGTGCTTGAAATAGAAATCTGCCGTTCAAATTTTTGTTTTGCATATATAAAATGTCAGATCTTTTAAGTAACACAAATGTTTGGTAGTGGTATCTTCCTTGCAAGACACACTTAACCCTATGAGACCTGGAACTAGGTGGAGCAGCTTTGCTTAGGCTTGCAGGCACAGCTGATGTTTGCAATATTCCCTCATATTTCTTTTAAGAATGCTATCTCTGGACTTAAGGACACCCTGAATTTCACCATCTTGTTAGTCAGGACAGCTGACTTGGTTTATGGGCATGAAGGCAGCCAGCATCCTGTCTGAGGTGTGGAAAAGTGACTTCACAGAAGTTAAAACCAGTGGTAGCCCTCAGGGTGGAAAGCTGCTCTATATTGAAACTTCTGAAAAGGCAGCTGTTCTACTTAGAAGCTTCTGAAAAGGCTGCTTGTTTATGGAGAGGCACAAGGAAGTCAGCTTTGGGCCTTGGTCTGAGTGGCCTTTTATCAATTAATCAACTGACTTAGTTTTCTTAGTAGGAAAAAAAACAAGGTATTAAGATCAGGTGCCAAGTATCAGATCAACTAAAAGTGTGTTTTTAAAAACCAGTAACTCCAAAGTAAATACAGTATTAAGTACATGCTTTCTCATCTAAATTATTTTTCCTGTCTGAAAGGTCTGAAGGCAGGCTGATGGTAGTCACAGGTACAAAGCTGACTTGATCCAGGAGAAGGATGCCTCTGAAAGGTAAGGTTACCTTGCATTAGAAAACAATACACAAAACGAATCTGTGTTCTAAAAATTGGTCTTATTCTTAAACTCCCCAAATGCAGTTTAAATCAATGCATCAACTAAGTATTACCCTCATAATATCTCTTATATGAAGTTGCAATGAAAAATGCTTCCAAAGTGTACTGGCTGTGGTTTCTGAGGGCTCTCCTTGCCCAGTTTCTACATCTGAAATGTCAGAAGTGTAGGTTCTAGCTGCTCAGTTTCATAGTAGCCTAAAACTGTTTGCTGTCAGGGCCTACAGCTGATTCTCCAGGACTCGGCAACAGCCTCCAGTTTCATCAGTGTAATAAAGAATGGCATTAAAGATTTGGGATGAGGTCCCAACTCACATCTGCAACTGTCATTCACCAGGTGAGATGTTCTGGTCATTCTTAATGGTTTACAATCCTGAGTTAAACCTTTACCATTCTTTAGAGGACCATTTACACAGGTAGCAAGAAAATAACTGGTTTAGAGGTTGTTTTTTGGTGTTTTTTTTTTTTTTTTTTAATGGAAGAGGCGGTTCAATTTCTTTATACACTCTAATAAGGCATGAACAAGCCCCATGTTCCTCAACTGGAAGAGAAATTACTGCAAGCTGGTTCGTCTGCTCCATACTGATCTCTGCTATGGACATGTTATCATCCACTTTGCTGAACAGTTTGTTGGGATTAGAATTTTCTTCCTAGTTCCACTTAGTTCAGTTTCATACGTGGCAGTGTTAAGCTGCTTACTGGCAGTGATAAGCTGCTTACTGCTGGGAAAGTACAAAGTGTTTCTCCACTCCTCCTGCTCTAACCAGGGGAGCTCTCCCCTCTGACAGCACGCTGTGTGAAATGCCAGGGGAAGCACTGCCTATTTTGTCACTGCAGCTTCCATCCTTCCTGATCTTCCAACCCTCTGTTTTCCTGGTTTGTCAGAAGGACCCAGAACACCTGTACCCCTGAGTGGATACATAAATTAACTGCATGCAGGGTTGTTCAGAGGCACAGCTGATCAGCTGCATTTGAAGACAGCAGCTGTGCCTGGGGCTGATGAAACACACTGCACTGTCAGTCGCTTCTCAAAGAAGTTCCAAGGGACAGCTCTTCCAGAGCTGACTTAGGTTGCTTTAAAGTGCATGTGCTTGCCCATTCCAGCACTAAATCTACACTGATTTATGACCTGCAGTTACTAATTCATCTTTCTTCCCCTTGCTCTGAGACCTTGCTTTCCCAAAAAATGTGTTGCTGGTAACACATGGAAAGCATACAGCCCTTGCAGGCAATCAGCTTTATTTGTGGCCTCTTGCCACCTATGCCAGCACCAGTCACTATAGCTTGGAAGCTGCCTACAGAGGTTGGTCCCCCTTGGAGAATTCCCCTGCAGATTTGTGAAGCCAAATTTGAGGCCTTTCAGAACTACTGTAAAACTCCAACACAGTAGGAGTATGAAAAGACTGGGAGATGTTGGAATTGTTTAGACCTAGTTTCTATCCTCCTTTCTTGGAACTATGTTAATAGCATATCACAATGTAGTCCTTAAAAAACTTGATAAAAAATTGGCAGTATGACAGCTCAGCTAAACACATTTCCAATAAAATACTTTCCCATGTCTCTCTGATATGCCTATGTGTCAGAAATGCACTTGGAATGGAAAGTTACCAGTAGCTTTCGTCATTGAATTCTTGCCACAATATCCTACAGAATGGGCCTGATCTTGGAAGATTCTTTAGCCAACATTTTGCCTTCACTGAAGCAAAAAAATAATTACAAAAATTACTTACTTATTTTCACAGGAAGGCAGAATCAACTTTAAGACTTTGATAATAAGAGCTGCTCCAACAACTCCAACAACAACAACTTCTATGAAACTAAACAAGATAGGTAGAGACTGAAACCAGAATCTGCATAACCCTTTTCTCAAGTCTTCCACCCACTGGCACATCACCTACAAAACGGTAAAAATACAAAGATTACAAAACAAAGCAACTGCTGGGTTTTGGGGTTTTTTTAACTACCAGTAAATCACGTTACATGGTGATGATTTTACTTAAACATACATAAAAGCATGATGAAATTGACTGGTGGCTCAGATACCTTTATTGTTCAAAGTCTGAAACAGGTGAAGGTTTAGTTCTGTGTTCATTAAAGGCCCCTTTGGAAAATAAAGGACACTTGAACAGAGTAGACAGTGGGTTGTAACTGTGTTTTGGCTACAGAGGAGGCCATGAAACCCATCCTTGTCTAAGCTGGAACTGAACTTCTCCAGCTGTTACTGTGTTTCCTACAGCAGGTGAGACCAGTGGTCCGTTTCTCAGAGGGGTAAGCACTTGAGCAGAGTCAGGAGAAAATGGCAGAATTTAAAGCTAAGCAATATTTGAAATTGTCATAAATGCTTAGCTTGGTATAATGTAAATGTCACCATTGACTATCGTGAAGTATCTGTGTGGTCAGAACATGGCAGGATTTAAAAGCCCAGTGGATTCCTACTGGACTTGTCACTGCTGAATAGTAATTTAGGAGCAGACATTTTTTGGTTTATTTGGGGTTTATCTGCAAAACTCCACTGGACTTAGTGGTTGTCTGTCTTTAAATAATTGTATTTATATACTAATAATTATACTAATCATTAAAACAAGCAAACAAACAACAAAAGCACCTTGTAAGAAGATGGCGGTTCTATCCTAAGAGGGGTCTCTGGTAACTTGCCAGGTAATGTCTCTTCATCCACTGTAGTTTCTACTTGCTGGATGAGGTACTGACTGGTAGTCTGCAGTGGATCTTGAATATCTGAAGAAGAAGAGCTAGATTTAGGGGAGAGTTTGCTTTTTGTATGACTCACTCTGAAAGAAAATAAAGACAGGCAATGTTTCTCTACAGAGGGTATACTTCTCACACATTTACAGCAAGAAGGCTTTTTGTTTGACTTGAGCAGTGAACTGGAAAAGAAGCAGAAAGAGTGTTACAGTGGAGCCTTTAGCTATGCCCTTAGCTGTAAATTTCAGCTGTCATCAGATTAAATGCTGATCGACTAGATTAAAATATTCTACTCCAATTAAACCCTTGACAGTTTTTGATTAAACAAAACAGAAATAAAATGAAGGCATCAAGTAACTTCTATTGCTTTTAAGTTATTCAAGTTTAATAACAGAAAACTGGTCTGTTGTTTGGAATTGACCCAGACAGGTATTTCCTCTACAGTTTTCTCTTTCTTTCTCAGGAAAAAGGAGGAGCTGTAGAGAAACTTCCATCGCAGATCTGAGAGAGAAATTTATTGCTGTCAGATGTCTGGACTGCAGACTGCCAAGAATCAAGTACTTCAAAGGAGAACAGATTTGAAAACAAACAAATAAAATACCTAATATGAAAAGTTGAATTTAGGTGTTTAAAAAAATTAACCAAGACATATAAAATAAAACCTGTCCCTGTTAATGAAAAATCTTTCACTATGTAAAACAAGGGATAAATGATGCTCTCTTACCCTGTAAAGCAGTACACTGAATATGGATGAAAATACTACTTAACAGCTGAGAGATACCTTTTCCTGAGAGGTTGGGCAGTGTAAATAACACGTCGTTGTCCCTTGGCATGGAGTACAGCATGCTCTCTTTCAAAGGGACGGTGTAGTTGGAATGTCTAAGTACTCTCAGGTCCTTTACTAAAATATCTATTTCTGTTACTTCTTCCTGCTGAACCTGCAAAAGATACAAACATGGTATTACTGAGTTAAAAGCAAGACTGAAGCAGCCTGGCAGACGACACCAGTACATCCCAGAAAACTCCAGGCCACTAAGATGTATACATAAGGCTGTTACAACATGAATTGGTATATTCTTTGTTCTCACATATCACACTTCTGTAGACCATACCACATCAGAAAATATGCTGAACAGACTGAGTCTGTCCCTGCAAAAGCACATGGTAGTCAATCCATGGGCTTTAACCAAGTCTTACATAGTACATCACTATCCTCTTGCAGGAAGGCATTTTAAGGCATGGAAAACTCAGATATGTAGTAAAAGCACTTGTAAACAAAGAAATTCTTGCTAAGGCAAGACTGAAATTTCTGCTTTTGCAGGAACATTGCTTGTTTTCAACTGAAAAGCCAAGTGTCACAGCATTTGACAGTGTTGTGTTTGAAACCCTTGTCTCCAACCAAGAGACATGCACATGACAGATGGAGCAGGCACTGGATATGTATGGCACTGGCTGGATGCTTGCACTCTAGAAAGTTGCTGCCAATGGCTCAATATCCAAATGGAGATCAGTGACAAGGGGTGTCCTCAGGGATGGGTATTTGCACTGCTCCTGTTTAACAACTTTGCTGGCACTATTGACAGTGAGACTGAGTACACCCTCAGCAAGTTTGTTGATGACACCCTATGGTCAACCTGCTGAAGGGAAGAGATACCATCCTGAAGCAGCTGAACAGGCTTGAGAGGTAAATCCCCTCACCAAGTTCAGCAAGGCCAAGTGCATAGTGCTGTACCTGGGTTGGGGCAGTTCCAAGCACAAGTACAGGCTGGGCAGTGAATGGATAAAGAGCAGCCTTAGATAAAAAGACTTGGCAGTGTTGGTGGATGAAAAGCTCAACATGACCTAGGAATGTGCACTCAGGTTCCAGAAAGCAAACTCTGTCCTGGGGCTGCAGCAAAAGCAGTGTGGCTAGAAGGCTGAGGGAGGTGAGTCTGCTCCTCTACTGTGCTTATGTGAGACTGCTTTTGACTTAAAGGAACAATCAAGGAAACAACATTAGCTTTCTAGTTGTTTTTACTAGGGCCCTATGAAAATCTGAAATGCATTGTGATGCCTAGTTTGAGGCCTGAAATACAATGCCATTGTTGTGTAACAACTGAATCAAACCATGATTCTTTGGCTATTATCAGTGGGATAAAGACCTCATTGGAAATGCTCAGTGGGAATTTTCACTAACAGACTAAGATTCTGACATGATACAGATCCCTGTAAAAACTTCTATATGCTGACCATGCAATTAATCAAGGATCAATGGTATTGCAATCATTATCATTTAAAAAAAGAAGAAGGCAACAGAACCATAAGCAAGATTCAAAAAAGCCTGGCCACATGTAAGATGCAGATGTGCAGAAACAGAAATATGACACAGAAATAAGCCAGTTGCTGGCTTCAGCAGCTGGATCTTTTCTACAGAATCTCCTTCTGTTAGTAAATCAACTACATCTTAGAAGTGATTTTGAGAACTTAGTTCTGTACATTTCAACCTCAGCTAGAATTACAACCCCTCACATTGACTGCTATTTGTGCAAATACAGTTAGAAATCAGAGGGGTGGAGGTGCTTGTGCATCTCAAAATCCATGTTCATTATCAAGATTCAAATTATCTTACATGCAAAGTCTTCTAAGACTAAGCTCTCAGGTGTAGTGGGCTTTCACAATAAGCCCACTTGCCATAAGAGTTTTCTGCTGCAAGCTGTTCCCCATGCTACCTGCTTGAAACCTTTAGTTAGCTTGGAATAAACAATGGGGAAAACCTCATGACACAGAATGAGTCCATGATCCTTTTTTTAATTTTGTACATTATTTTATAAATCAACTCTTGCTTGTGGGTCTGGCTTTGCCTGCACAAGTTCACTTATTCAAAGTGCATGTGATATAGTTAATTATTAAAATATGAAAAGAAGTATTAAAACTTGAAGTTTCCTCATGAAACACCCCCACTATTACCCTGCCAATGCTGCTGTTGTCTCCCTCCATACTATGTTAGTTAACATTAAGTATATTCTTTGTGTTCTAATCACCAGCCAGATACATGTAAGTCCCTGGGAACTACTTGTCTCTCCTAAATTAAAAACAAGCAGAATGTTGTAGCAGGGCTTTTTATTTACCTGTTTTCCATCAATTTCTGTCACTTCTTCTTGAATGACAATCAGCTGCAAATCAGAAGTGGATGCTAAAGGCCACTCATGAACCATGATTCGAACACTGACGGTTCCCAGGTGCTGCTGATCCGGTAAGTTATCCAAGCTTCTGTTCTCCACTGTTAATGCAAAATGTCATCATTTTCAAAGAGAAACCACCTCAACCAGAAAGCAGCACCAAGCCATAGAGAAAACAGGTGCAACTCTGACACAGATGCCTTTGCACATGCAGCACCTGAATAGAGAAGTCAGAGTACCACTAGCATCAAGCCATCAATGCCAGAACAACAGTACAGAACATCTTAACACTTCCAGTAACCACTTTTACAACCAGTAGTAATGTGGGCAACAGCAAAAACAGGTGCCATGATTTTTTTACCAGTATATCACCAAATCAGAGCAGGTCTGTAACACAGCAGAGCTGTACAGTCCCCTGACTCAGGAAGCCTGCAAGAAAAGTCACATCTGCCTTTGAGGTTTGCATTTGAGCACTCTAAGCAGAGCTCTTTGGCTTGGTTATTGCTGCATTCTTATATCAGTTGTCCAAAGGAGTTCATAAGAGTAATGCCACAGCCTAGCCAGCCACCTGTGTAAACATCTTCATTTGCACAACATTCCCCTTCCTCTGAATACAGAAACAAATATGGTCTTTTCCAGGCACACTGCATCTCCAGCTCAAGATGAGTGCCAGTTCCCTCCTACATATTTTTCTGTCCCCCTGTCTGTTTCCATATGTGACTGATGATACCTCAACCTCTCTTCCTACCCAAAAGCTTTCAGCTATTTCAACAGCTTAATATTCTACAAGTACACACGGAACTGCCTTTCTACCCTGGCTGTTTCTGTACACTCTTACTATCCTCCCAATTACCACAGCTCTGCTTCAGGTGAGGGCATGCTAGAACTGAAGTCCTGGAGAAGCACAAGAGTGGAGGTGAGGGATCTCTCCAGTATGCAGATACCAAGGGACATGAACTGAAACGAGACCATTCCTGCTGTTAAGCTACTGGTGCTGTGTGTGTGACACCTGGAGTGCTGAGCCTGTCAGGTAATGTGGGATAAGGCTCAACTTGGGTCTCAGTCACACACTAACCACTCAGAGTGTCCACTACCATGCTGTGATCTCTGTCCTCATAAAGCTATTTTTATTATTGAAAATATAGAAAAATACTTTCTGGCATAATTTAGTAATGTCTTCCATTGCCAAAATAAGTTGGAAGGAAAGTAACCTACAGGTGTGAGCCAGGGCACTAACCTGGTTGCTGAATGTTTTCTGACTTGGAGCAGCAAGCATGTACTAAAGGCCCAAAGCCTCTAACATGCCAAGCAGCTGAAGCTCCCTGTGTTCCCAGCTTTTACCATGTGTCAGGCTGTTCAACCACCACTACATTCACAGGAACAACACATACACTTCCAAAACTGACTTTTGGAGGAAGTTCAATGGGGATGTAGGTGCCAAGAATGATATGACAACTATGTTAAGAGTACGTGGTCTCCAATATTCAAAAGCATGATTATTAAGGTCAAGTTTTGTTTTTATATACACTCAGGAGTATTTCCCCCTCTATGAATAAGTATCTTGATAGTTCTTTAGCATTTTACAAACACTACCTGAATCTGTTGTCAATAATTTAGTAAGTAAATAGTATAAACATTACATTACAGGTAACAGAGAGTGGTACTGCGCTGGGGACTCAGACTCAAATATGGAGATAAAGAGTGTCAGGTTTCTAGCTCCCAGGTAAAGATCAGTATTTTCCTCACTGTTTCAGATTCAAAACTAGTCATTGCAAGCACTATGACTACAGAAGAGTGCTCAGGAGCTCTCAGAATTACTCAATAAAATCATATCTATTTTTCTGGAGTGAGTTATTTTGCAAGTAAATGACATTTTACCATGGTTTTGTACCAGAAAAGGAGAATTTGATTACTGCTTTCCCTCTCCAGGAAGGAAATACTGTCAAATTAATAACTGATCATGCTTGGGAAAGAAGGGTTCAAGCAACAAGGTCACAACTCAGAGAAGCAATTTGTAAAAGTGTTACTATTCTGTAAGTCCCTGATGAGGATGACCTCAGATACCAACCTAGAGACTAACTGCATCACATGCAGTAGAAGATTGTTCTCAATACAACAGAAGCCTAAATCAAATAAACCTAATGGTCCTTCTTTAATTAGTTATACAGTATGCTCTGTGGATCTCAAAAATGATCACACAGTACTTTCTGCTTTTTCACCAAAAAAATGTAGCATTGAATCAGTGGAAAAACAGCAGGTTCAAGACAATTTGAAGTCATTAACTACTACAGTCATTAAAGTACAATATTTGTGCTATAATATCCTATCCAGCAGAAACTTGTTTGTCCAACAGATACAGAAGTGATATCTTTAAAATATCATCCTAACAACAATTCATACTTCTGTTATTGAATCTCCTTCTGGATATAGGCCAACTAACCTAGGGACACAGCCATTAGCAGGGTGGGGTTGCATCCTTCTGTTTACATTGTCTAGCTTGTAGTGCAAAACATTCTTTTAAAAGATGGGCAGAGTCTGGATTTCAGATTAGACCATTTACACACAAGCCTGTTAATGTGACTTGAGATTAAGGCAGTAAGATTTTTTTGATCCATTTTAATACAAAAATTGTCCTACCTTGGGAAATGTTTTGCTTCCACAATGCTCTGGTTTACAAAATACAGAACATATAGCCATTATAAGCTTTGGTTACTAGACAACAGGGAAGCCAAATACCCCAGAGGCGGGAGGAAAATAAAATTAAAAAAAAAAGGAAAAGAGAATACTCACATATAATTGTTTGACATGTTACGTGGGCAACCCCACTTTTCATAGGAAAGTCATTTAGATATACTTGTCCATTAACATAGGTGATGTTAAAAAGAACCTGAAAGAAAGACAGCCAGAATGAGTGTACATTTCCTGCCCCTGTGCTGCAATTCTGCTCTCAGAGGAACACGCTCCCTACTCACTGATGTCAGAATAAAGGATATACTTGCAGCTGCTGCAGACTTTGCTTCACTGCATATTAATTCACTGAATAAATAGAAAAACTGGACAAACCTGTACTTTGTGAAGTTCTCCACTGGTGCTCAGCATCGTAACACCGACTCTAATTGCTTCCTGAAAAAAAAAAACCAGAAGAGCTGTAAGTCTGAGAAAACGTATGAGCCACTGGAGGCAACTTTGTTGTACTGTCCAAGCAGAATGACTTCATACTAATCCCAGAGCTCATTCCCAGGCTTTCCATCCAACAGGTAGAAGGAAAAGGAATATGCCTTCTTGTTTCATGTAAGGATTACTCTGGTTCTTTCACCCTTCTTTTTAATAAAGACGCCTGATGGAAAAGAATGACATCTGCATCCCCCTATGTATAGTTTGTGGTTTTTTGTAATAAAGATAGAATAATAATAATAATCACTTGTTTCACAAGGATATAATGAAATTCTCTTACATTAGCTGAAAAATAATAAACCACAAAAGGTAAAAATCAGATTCTCTGTAAATGTTTTTTTTAAGCACTCCAGTTAGTCTTCAAAGTGAAGCTAGTCTAAACTAAAGAACATTGAGTTCTGTCAGCAGAACTTCTGTTTCTTTGGTTGTGATTCCCAAATAATGCCACAGGGGACATCTCAAACTCACAGAAAATGGGGATTTGCTTCTTTCTTTCAAACCCTAATTGCTGCAATTTATTGAATCACTCATTCTGTCCTCTCATTTCTCCCTTGTAATTTCAGGGGCTGCTTTGCAAATGAGACCTTAAATCTCCCAGGTCTGTCCCTGAAAAAAACTACATACAAAAATCAAATCTTGCTTGCACATAGCCAAAAGTAATGATTGCCAGACTGCCTTCCTCAGACACCTCTTCAAAAATAATGTTAAGCTCCATATTCGGCCTGTGGGAGCCTTAAATCATGATAACTTCAGTTCATTAATACCTGGACATGGCACTTAGTGCTATGGTCTAGTTAGCTGGGTAGTGGTCAGTCAAAGGCTGGATTTGACCTCAGAAGTCTTTCCAAACCTAAATGATTTGGTGATTCTGCGGATCCATTTTCCTCTCAAAAATATCTCCATACCTTCAGCATCTTTAGCTCTATAGTTGAGTCATTGTTTCACAACCAACAGTTAAAAAGTGAGTCATGTCTCAATAAAAAGTTGAACATGCTCAGCATTTAAAATAAATAAAAATGTAAGTACGTAAAAAGACTTCTCATTTAGTATTTTTACACAACACTAGATTTTCAGCCAGAAAATACGTGAAATATACAATACCTAACATAATACAGCCCCAGTTCAGAAAAAGAAAACTCTGAAGCGTGACTATAATGCCAAATATCATTGTAGCAGTGGGTTTCATATGTTAATGAGCATACTCAAGTGGCCAGAACTGTAAAAACTGAAAAACAACTTCCAAGTCCAATTCAGCTGGAATCTGGCATCATGAGAAGAATGCTTTCAAACCTAGCACAGATAACCTTTTGGTTCTAAGTGACTTGGAAATACTTCAGACCCATTTGGCCTATCAGTAAGAAAACTCTGTCCACTGAGACCAAAGAGAAATCTCTTCCTCAATGCCCTTTCTATGAAACAGGTTTTTATATTGACTTTTCTTCAAAACTTAAATCCTAACTATTCAAAGCAAATTAAAATTACCAAATTAGTCAGAGAAGTGAACTCTGTAACTGAAAATATAAACTGGATTAACAGTATAAACGTAGGATATATTCTATCCTGTCTTCCTGTAATTTCCTCAAACCACTTATTTCTTTCTCATATTTTAAGAATTCTGTATATTAACAACAAAATAAAAATTCACCAAACTTTTAGATATTTTAGGTCTTAGCATTCAGAACTGTAAGTCTTTTACACTCTCAAAATATTTAACAGATGACTAAAACTTTCGTCCTAGGTTCTTCTGTTTTCTGGGAATGCAAAGGACACAAAAAAAGGATTTTCCAGGCAGTCTTAATAATCCTTCATTTTTTAAGCCACAAATTACATCTGAGGTTTTTTTACACAGAAAGTATTTCACAATCTTTTTTCAACATCTACAAAGAGACTCACTGAGATTACAAGAAAAAGGAAATGACTGATGAAAAATAGGAAAATCCCCGCCTTTTTTTTTTTAAATCAAATTTTTTACTTGAAAGTGAAGGGCATGAAGGAAGCTAGATATGCTCAACAATTGACTGATAAATGTACAAAGTTAGCTATACATACAATGATTAATTTCCTTCAAAACAGCTGTCAACTCTGTTGGCACAGTATCCACAAGCACTGTTATGAATTCTGGAACATACTTAAAACTTGCACTTGAAGAACACGTTACATGTTTAAGAAATGAAATATTTCAGTGGATCACTTCTGTGCTGTCAAAGGTTCAAAAATCAGATTGTAACACACTTTAACCACTTGCTGCCTCTGCCACTGAAAGAGAGAGTGTAGATCTCTCCTGCACATCATCCTTCCATCTCAACCCATCCCAAGTCAGTGAGGTAATTTAGCTAATTAAATTGGCACAAAAACTTTCCCTTTTTTGTCAGGCCATTTTTCTGTTAGTTGAAGAATCAAGGAAGAACTGGACAAGCACAAGAGATCCAAGAACACAGCAGGGAAGAATGAGCTGGGCTCCTTGTTCTGATGCACAAAGCTTGTCGGACTGCCTCTGCTGTGTGATCTGTCTGTCCTTGCAGCATCTCCTTGGGAGACATCTGTCTTCACCACCATCTCAGGTGATGCTGATGCATCTCCTTAATGGTACAGGTTCATAAAGCTCCTCAGTAACTCAGAGCAATGCTCAGCTTTCCCCTACAGCAGCTGCATCATGATCCTTGCAATTTTGTGTTCACATACAACAGAGAACTCATACTGTTGGGACTCGTGCTATTCCTGGGACTAGTGTGTTCACATCAAGATCCAAAAAATTCTACTGATATCTTCCCAGATTCTGTACATCCATTCTACTCAGTTGTCATATGCTCTCATTTTGCAATTTATGAACAGGTTGTTCATTACTCTTCTTATCTTCCCACAGAAAACAGCAGTGTTCCAGCTCAGTCTTAACCCTTCCTTGAAGGTGGGTTTCACACTGCTGTCTTCCCATGGCTTCCTGCTGGTGTCTCCTGCAGTGCCACACTTAATACTCAATGGGTCCTGCTGTGGCCAATCATCCTGACCCTACAAATACCCCATCTAACAAAATCTACAGGATGGCAAAAACAAGATGCATGCCAACTGCCATGAAAAGCTGGGCAGGAGTGCTGGGGAAAGGAAGCAGCAGCTCACAGGAGAGCAGAGTACCATCCCAGCTAACCCACTTTCACCCACAGCAGAGAAGAAGTGATGCATAGCACTGCCCCTGTTATCACAGGTCTGACTGGTACCCCTTCAATATCTGCATGTTGATAAGTGCTCAAGAGCCATACATTGTTTATGCCTCTTAAAGGGGAGGGAAACAGATGTGGCAGGTCAACAGCTCTTGTACCAGTCTTTCAGGATGAAATGCCTGATCTGACAAGCCACACTTGCTAGAAAGTGCTCTAGTGATAATTCAAATCCCCATCTTTCCAGTCCTAAGGCTGAAGGCACACACTTAACAGAACATCCTTTAATTTCAACATAGGAATTTTTTTTGTTACCATAATAAAATTCACAGCCTGAGGGTGGAGGGGAAGAAAGTGTTTTATAGTGCTTTGTAGATATGTCTTGTGGTTATGACTTCAGTACTAAGAAAGGTACCCTTATTTTGTAAAAGCACAGTAAGCAGTGTGCAGTAACAAAGCCACTGAGAGCAGAACACAGGAAATCTGCAGTAGTCCATACTGTTGCACTGTCAATTTTTGGAGAAGCCTCAATTATGAGTGTAAAACTTTGTTGTATAACTTATAATACACTTTTCAGCATTAACAATATCATGCAAGTTTCAGACAGGCCTGTAATTTAAAATGTTCTGAATTCACTGGGATATTTGAAAAAGCAGTGCTTTGACAGAGCTAGAATGGAAGGACAGCCCCAAGAAGCAATTCAAGTCCCTAAGAATTGGGGTGTGCTTTCAGCTTACCATTGACCCACTTTCATACTTTGCAGCCCCTTGTCCCCTCCTGTGATGGTAAATGCCTTCACACGAAACTCCAACCTGCACTAAAAATGGCCCTCATCATTCTTAATGCTCTTATTGGATGTAAATGTCTCTCCTGAGTTTTTCTATGATTTCTTATCTCTGATTTAGTACTCCAGCAGTGGTATTTACAGTGGTAATGGCCACAGAACCTGCAAAGAGGACAGCATCCCTACCACAAATGTAAGTCATTGTGTTCTAGAACAGCTAGGTAGCAGTACTAACGGTGTGATGGCACAGGTTACAGTGAACTAGTGAATTTTTGTGAGCTTGGATCAGCAGAGGTAAGCAGGTAGTGATCATTTTCTATTAATTTTCTCTTTCACTGTGGGCTGCAACAGAATCCAGGACTGTTAACTGGGGCATTATAATCACAGTAGCAGCAGAGCAAAAAGGGGGAAAGATGTCAGCAAAGAATATAAAGCATCAGGCATAAGTTAAAAGGGAATATTCATTAATTCTCAAAGACTAACACCACACAAATCTACAGAGAACATTTCACCTAATATTGCTTTTTTAAAAAAAGGTGCAAAAGAAAAAGACGCTGATGGGTCCAATCACACAGGAACTTCAAACAGATCTGATTAAAGAATAATGGAAAAACTTTATCCACAGGCAGTGAATACCTGATGGGGTGCACTGTACAATTTCTCACAGTACAGGGTAACTGTTGAGTCCTACACAGCTGCATCAGTCACACAAACCCCATCAAGATTCTGCTGCTAGCAGCTGGCCCACTAGAAGCACAGCTGTTCTCTACTGAGGCTCTCCAAACAAGGCTCTTTCTGCTCCAAGGCCTGTGGAAGCCAAGTGGGCAGCCCTAGGAACAGATGGCACAATGCCTTACAAGATGGCCAGCTGTACAGAGACTTGAAAGGCAGACAATCCCCTCACAGCCATTACACAGGCACAGCTGATATCCTGTTTGCAACTGAAAAATGTCAGGTTGCCAAACAGGTAAAAAATAGACAAAACTAGTAACCTGTTTCTAAATTTGAGAAGAGATTATGGGAAAAGAAGTGTCTGAATAGACAAATAAAACTACAGCACAAACTCATACCACTTGAATCCTGGCACTCATATGGACAACTGACTCCACATAGTGTAACTATATATTGCAATCCAGGGTTCTATGATCCATGCTTCACATAATTCTTGCATAAGAATTGAAACAGAACTACGTTGTAGAGTCTTAACTGCAATCAGGCATAATTGAATTGAGAAATAACCATGGTAAAAGCTTGACATGACATGATAGAATTTCACAAGTTTGCAGGACAATAATTTGTCCTTCACATTTCAGAAAATTTTTGTACAAAATTTTCTCCATTAAGATTTGGCATTATTAAACTGCATGACAGTATTTAGGGTAAGATCACTACATCCAGTATTTTCTTAACTAGCTAAATCTAAACTCTTTCTTAAGACAATAATCCAACATGATGTTTTTGCTTTACTTTGCTTTTCTGAACAAGCACACTTACTTTCATTCCTTCCTTGTTTTACAATTACTCTTATTATAACATGATTTATCCTTCCCTTTCCCCTATGTGTGTTACTAGAATTAATTGCCTTTGTATCCTTCCTATTAAGACAACCTATACTATGATATTTTATCATGAGTTTTAGAGGTGAGTACTCAGTCTCATATCACAGAGACACAACTGCATAATACTGCTTTAACTTAATCAAATATACATTGGAAGATGATGTCAGCTCTTTTAGGCCTAAAATTCACATGTGCCGGACTGCTAATAGAGAAACTGGCATAAAGCAATGGAAGAAACATTCCGGCACATTGCTATTAACAAGTTTCTTCTTTGATTAAAATACATTGTACTCACTGCATCAAATGGTTGATGTAGTGAAGATTATTTCCTGCTGTTGTGAAACAACCCATCCACACAGAGGTTTCTTGCAGGCAACAAATAATATAAAAGCATTTTTTTTCCAGGCAACTGAACTAAACTAAAAAGAAAAAAAAAGTATGGTAGGCAAGTATGTTATTTAGAAAGAACTCTGCTAGCCTCAATTATCAAGAGGTAAACAGAATAAGCAAATAACATGGTGTTAGTACTGCTTTCAGCCAGTTCCTAGCAGCACATAAAAAAAATACTCTAAGGCACAAAACCTTATGCCTGACCTTGCACCAGAAACATTACTTTAACATGAAAGTCAGTTGTCTTATTGCATCAGTCCCTTTAAACTTTTTAAAATAAAAAAAAAAAGCCCAAAACAACCACAACAACAAACCCACAATTTTGTCTAAAATCAATCAGTTTTTAGTCCAGTTTTGCATATCCAAATTTTATGAGGAGAAACAAAAACCATAACAGACATACTAATGTTAAAAAAAGTCCAGATTTCAAAACAGCTTTTTTAAGAAATTACAAGTATTGCACAACAGTTGAGGAGTTCACATTCCAGAGCTGAACAAAAGCATTTCAGCCTTACAAAATGCTATTCCAGTATATCAAGGTTTTTCCTCAGTCCTTCCGCTAATTTTTTTGTAACACTACCATCAGCAAGGAGGTAAACTTTAACACCAGCTTTAAACCCAACATGGAAGAGTTAACAGCATGTGAAGCTGTTAGTAGAGTGCAGCCAGCAGGCTCACAGAGTTGTAAAGCACAGCTGTAGTGTCCAGCCAAAGCAAAGCTGACCATGTTCATGCTGCCTGCTCCCAACCAGTCTGCAGTCCCTAGCAATCCTGAGGAAACAACATAGTTTTTCTGACCCTGTAGCCCACTGTCACTGAGCTAGGAGCTTCTGAAGGCAACTTGACAGCATGGCATTCCCACTCTGCCTATTCCCACTGCCTAGGCACTTCTGTTCCTAACAGGAACACCTCTGTGTCAAAAAACATTGATTCTTCTACTCAAAACTTTCTCCAGACACACTGTTCCTTTTGCATCAAACTGGTCCTGTATGTACAAAACTAAATATGCAGGAGAAAACACAAGTTTTTATTTTGCTAAGTTCAACATATAAAAAGAAAAAAACACTAAAGTAAAAAGTTTTATGTCCCTTTTACTGCATATACTTAGGCCACCAGACTCATATAAAACTAAAAAAGTGCAGACCCTTCCAAATTAGCAAATCATGAGCTCACAAGACCACCTGAGCAGTACAGCACAAATGGACAAACTCAACCCCACAAACAGCACAGCTGTGCCCATAAGGCACTACAGTTCCTAAGTCAAGCCCTACTCACACTCCAAAACACACCTGTTCTGTCCCTGACCCCAAGCTGCCTTACGTGGCACTGCCCCGGCACCCCTGTGCCCTGCTCACTCTTTCACATCCGAAGACAGCAGACACAAATGTGCCTCTGTGTCCTTTAAAACTGCCAGCAGTGACAACTTTAATGCCACCAAGCTGTAGTTTCAGTGTGGAAGTGTGACAGTTTCAGGGTAGAAGGTGTGCAAGAGCCCAAGTCTGCATTACATTGTCACTTCATGAGGCTTTTGGCAAATTCAAGCTGCACTCCCTTTCTCAGAGGGATAAGCAAAGTATCCAAATACTGAACTCCCTCTGCTCTCTTTAGCACACCTCACTTCAGACACCTACAAAAGTGCCTAAATGCCTGAAGATCCAGATCCCCATTTTGAAATCAGAGCTAAGGAGGTCTCTCTTCAAAAATTCATAAAGAGAAGCAGAAACCAGGAAGTAAGGCCAGGAATGAATCCTGCTTTGCAACACAGGATGTGCCAGAGCAGGGCCTCTGCCAGGCTTTCTTGGAAATGTTTTACTTAAATTACACTACTAAATAAATAACTCTGGAGGGAAAAAAGACATAATAAATTTGGTCAGGTAACAGTAACTTCACATTGGCTAGACAAGTTGACTACAAACCCCTCACAATTCTTCCCTCTGTGATCTTACACTTTGGGTTCACAATTATAACAATTTTAGATGACGTATCTGATCATGACTCAAGCTCAGGAAGAAGTACCCAGCTTTTCTGTAATTCTAGAGGTCAGAGCTCACCTCGTGCTGTAGCAAATCTTTTCATTCCCACTGGAAAGTTCTCTTAAGTAATACCCAAAACATTCCTTCCACTCTTTTAAAAAGCCACCAAATTTAAAGCTGATGTCACCAAGATATTGGGATAGAAACACAGATATTGGGATAGAAACACAGACAACATAATGCCCTGTGTATTTATAGATATACACAAATACATCAAAACCCTTTTCTTGCTTCGAATCACGAGCAGGCTAGACTCAAGTGTAGACCTAATGCAGTGCGTACTTGTACGGCACTGAACCATGGAGATGTAGGCGGACAAGCCTGAAAATACAACATAAACACATCCGTATCGCACAGAAGTAACTACCGTCCCCCTCAGACCTGTCAGATACGGCACACGGAATACGGAAAAACAGCAAAGGGAGAGGGGAAACCCTGTCTGCCCGCGGCAGGCTCCGGCTCACCCCTGAGAGGGAACGGGGCACCGGCAAGGGCGGGGCAGGAGCTGGAGCAGGGAGTGGGACAGTGGCAGGGCAGGGAGAGGGAAGGTGGCAGGGCAGGGCAGGGCAGGGACAGGGAAGGTGGCAGGGCAGGGACAGGGAAGGTGGCAGTGGCAGGGCAGGGACAGGGACAGGGAAGGTGGCAG